TTCTTTAAAGATGATCAAAGTTCGGAGCTCAGAAAACTACCCTTCATGGGAACCTATGCCTCTGCAGAGTTGGTCTAAGGACTGGCCCGACCAGGAGTTTTGAGAACGGGGTGGGGGCGCGGGCGCGTCGTGTGGGTGTTTCAAGGGCGCCCGCGCTGCTACCTTCCTTCCTGGGTCTGTTGTCGCGCAGGCCGGGAGCTCGCGCGCACGCCGCCGGGTGATCGCAGACAGGCAGGCAGGCAGGCAGCTGCAAAAAACCCCCTCTGGGGTCCTTGGGTCCTTCCTGGGTCTGTTGTCGCGCAGGCCGGGAGCTCGCGCGCACGCCGCCGGGTGATCGCAGACAGGCAGGTAGGCAGGCAGCTAGTACCATGTTTTTTATGACAGTGTAAACTCATAAACATGAGAGTATAAGATGTTTTCTCTCCCATTTTTTCTGCATAGAAACAAATGTCATCTCTTCCCATTCCAGTCTCTACACACCTTCTTATAGGTCAGCAGTCTTCTAATTTAGCCAAAAAAGTTAAAAAGAATAGGCAGAATAATGACACATGCTATGCAGCTCTTGAAAAAACAACAATAAAGGTACTAATATTTTTAGTAAATTTCAGAACAATCACATTTCTAAATTACTTTCAGGAAGTCAGTGTTTCTGTTAAATAAGCAGATAATTTTTACCTACTAATAAAAAAACAGCCAGTTGCCAGAGGACTGTGACAGTCTTAACAAGTTTTACGGAAAATAAAAAAACCAGCAGATAACAGGCACCATGTTTTCTTTTGGCAAATATTAACATTTTGTAGCTTGCATATCTTGCTTACTTAATTGGGCTTATAACAACTCACCGGGGCATTTCACTTGCAGACTGAAATTCTCTCTACCTGTTCTTTACAGCTTTTCAGACCTTGAGTGGAAAACTGCTACAAAACAGACTGGCTGAAAATATTTTTAAGGTTTCAGGCCCATATTTACAAACCTTACAATCTGTACGCATTCATTTATTTAAAGACAAATGAAGCACATAAATAAGGAGCTTTCTTAGAAAAGGAAAGCAAATAAAGGAAAGCAAAAACTAAGACCACATTGCGAGAAAAAAAAAATGTCCTGGCTGAAGTAAATCCCAAATTATCTCTACATCTTTCCCAGTACCCTGACTCCAAATGTTTGCAGACCCTGTCCCCTCAAACTCTACTGCTCTCTCTGGGTTCCTTTATATCTCCCTAGACAATGGCATTTATCATATGAATTCTTGTTCTATGCTGTTTTGCCTTAGATGTCTATATTCTTAGCTAGATTTTGAGCTCCTCCAAGGCAGAGATAGTGTCATACTACTGTTACTAGCAACAAGCCTATATTGAGATTAAGCAAATATACAGGTTACAATTGAATAGGCAACAGAAAGAAAAGAAAGGAGAAATGAAGAAAAGAAATAGGGAGAGGAGTGGATAGAGAGTAGCCAGAGAAGGTGTGGAAAATCCCGAGAAGGCCAAAGAAAGACATCCTTCCCACTGAGAAGGCTGTCTTTAACAAATATTCCTAGATACTAGTGATCTATCAGGCAATTAATCATTTTGGCTTTGAAGACTTTTGGGAGCCTACTTTTATTCATTCTCCTCTATTTTTAGTAAGAATACACTGGGTCATCTGTATCCGTGGATGCTACATATATACAGATGTAGATTCAACCAATTGCTGACTGCAAATATTTCTAAAAAATGCACCTTTGTGAACCTGTACAGATTTTTCTTGTATTATGCTCTAAACAGTGCAGTACAACTGTTTACATAGCATTTACATTGTATTAGGTATTATAAATAATCTAGAGGTGACTTCAAGTATATGGGAGAATATGGGTAGATTTTATGGAAATACCTTATTATTTCATTTAAGGGACCTGAGCACTGTAGATTTTGATACCTGTAGGGGCCTCAGGACCAACCTCTCCATCATCCAATAACAAGAGAGAACTGTAATTGTCAGGTAACTTTTCCTCCCACTTTCCTTCTTGAATGCTCAGAAGGTCCCAGAACAGTACAACTCAGGGGAACATCTGTTAGGCCTCTTGACCTGTTACTAGATTTGGAGGAGTCTAAGTATATGAAAGTGTTTCTGATGGTGCTGCTATAGAGGATTTTATTAGCAAACTTGCTCTGTGTTAATATCTACTAAAACAACAGGAGTCAATGCTCTATTTTTAAAGTTTGTTGAGCACCTGAAAAAGCACCTGGGGCCTCTCCTACCCTCCCAGTTGGTTTGACATTAACAAGTATCCCTGTGACACTGAGGACCAGCCGAATCTAGAAACTGCATTGTCATGAAAGCTGCTTTGGCATGGCTGGCTGGCAGGAATGAAATGTTAACTTTCTAAACTTGCTTTCATAGATCTCTCCAAAAGTAGCAAGTCAATAGTGTAATTTCTCAGGCCTCTGCTAGACAAAAGGTTGTAGTGTTTTCCTTGTTGTGGGGAGAGGAGAGGAAAGGAGGCTGAGATCCTAATCCCCATTTTGGAATATCTCAGGCGATCACAAAGAACACTCATCTCTTATGACAGCGCATTTCCCAAGCATCCTTTTGGGAAGCTTTGGAGCCCAATTGTCTAGGGAATTATAGCATCAGTCACTTTTGGCAAAGCACAACACACCAGAGCATGGGAAACACAAATGAAAAAAGAGGCACTTCTTTACTCCCTGGATTGTCTGCTTACACATTTGCCTCGCATAAAAATGGGATCATTAAAAAAGGAAACACACAAGGGAATAGTTTATCCAGCTTAGGTTTTGTGAGAGTCAGAAGAAACATTCTTTCTCTAAAAGGTTAAGCATCTTCATGCTTTCCTTGAATTAAAGAAATAATATAAAGTAAATTCAAAATAATCAGGACTGCTCAATCTAAAATCCATTCTTATTTTGCTCATAGGGATACATAGTGGTTTGGGGATGATACTTTTCAATGCATTAAACATTGTTTTGGGTATGGTGGAAATAACTTTCCTTTATGGTATTGTTTATTTTTTAAGAGCACTAAGTCTTGCCTAAGGAGTTGCTTGAATCTCTTATAAAAGGCAGTAAAATGATCTCAAGTTTAAAATAGGCTGAATTTGTTATCTAATCTGCTATTCTATGGAAATCTTTCTCTTATGCTACTGAGGCTCTCGGAGATAAGTTGTCCTAGCACTGTAAATATCATTCTTTTCAATGTTAACATCTATAATAAAACCAACAAACAGCTGCTTGCTCTCATTTATAGTCTACCAGAACTATCTCCAAAGAGGCTGTTGCCACTTGATTTGGAGTCACCAGTCCTTACTGCATACCTCTAGTTAGTGCTTTTAAACTCTGTCTTCAAGAAGCAGGAATCCTGGGGCTGCAGTTGCTCTGCCCAATAGTGGGGTCTCTTCAAACTTGTCCTTTATGACCTGCCAAAGTACAGAAAACTAGCAGGGAACCTCTCAGTCGCTGAACTCTGCTTACTCTTTTTGTGATCTTGTAAGCATAAATATGAATGTGAAATCCAGGAGAGAAAACTTCCCTTTAACAGATTTGCCTCCCAAAGGAGCTGCTGTGTTCAGTGAGCTCCAGGATGACAAGAGTTCTGTTTTTAATATAGCACTAAAATCTGGAGTAGAAGGCAGTAATCAAAGAGGGTGCAGGAGAAGAAGTCACAGCTAGGACACTGCTATGATCATGTTCAGCTCCGCTCCAATAATGTTAGTATAGAGAGCTAATAACTGTTGAGCACCAGCTCCATGTCAGGCACTGTTCTGAGTATCTGACAGGTACATGTCATCTAATACCTACGCACCTCTTCTGGACATTCCTGTAGATTCTCACAAGCAAAGTGTATCTTGTAAGCACAGACTTACCTTCTTGGAAAAGACAAAAAGAAAAGGAATCATTCTATTCTGAGAAAACCCAGGGACTATATCTTCAATGGTTACAATAATCTTTTCTGTTCCTGGTGTGTTGAAATATTTGGCAAAAATCTCCCCTTATCTTAAAACAAAGCAATGCTAGTATATTGGTAAGATCGGTGGAATGTTAGTTGCTCAGATCTAATACATAAACAATTGATATCTCTGACAATAACCTTCAGAAATTTACTTCTAATAACCAGATTCCAAAGGAGAGAGAGCTCACATTACAGTCTGTTAATGCTGGCTGAGGTGATTGAGGCCAAAGGAGGCTAAAGATTTAGGCTCTCTGAATGGTGGCAAAGAATCTCTGTCTTTAAAGTTGCTGCCACCTGCTCACCTCCAAACAAGACAGCATACAACCAGAAGTAAGCATGAGAGCAACTAGACGGACCATGTAACCCATGAGGTTGGATTGATGTAAGCGATGTCTGTGGGAGAAAACAGCTGTGACTTGCATAATATTCACATGCATAAATCCCGAGGAACCTCAACACAACTTGATACGCACAGAACATACTTGACCATATTCTTTTGCTCTAAGTTATTTCAGTAAAGAGGAGTTTGATGACTGAGATCAAGCATGGGCTTACCCAGTGAAGATCAAAATCAGAAGGCCTTGATCTTCCTTCATCGTCTTCATATAAAGGGAAGCCCTCCCTGCGAGCTTGATAATACTCCTTTCGCAGCTTCTGGATGCGGTCAGTGCTTCCTCCTGAGGGGCGACCACTATGGCACACAACAAATGCAGTCACACAGTGTACATCAGCCTTGAAAGTCTCTCTTTGATCTTCCTATTAACAGAGCTACTATCCAAATTTGAAGGATTTGATGATATCCTTCAAATATGCTAGGAAAATGGTGAAATTAGTAATTAAAATGAATAAAAAATAGTCCTTACATGCATACCTTCCCTCCAAGGGTCAAAACATCTGACCCGAGATTAATAACTACCTTTGGAATGAAAAGGTAAGATAAAGTCTTGACCTTTTAGAGGAATTAAAATAACTACCATTTTCTTCTTAAAATCATATACACAGCTTGAGTGAATTTTAATGTGTCTCATTTTCTCAAATAAGCGTTGCCTATTAGGGACAAAGTTACAGTTGTTTGAATGAAGGCTGGATGTGATACTGGTTGACATATGCCAATGTTCCTTTTAATGAGATTCATGAATTTTGGGGTGGCACTAGGGTATATGTCAATATATGGGTTCAGCCAAGCTTAGGTGAAGAAAGGCAAAAACCATGTGAAAGAAAGCGTGGAAAAGGATAGAAGAAGCTGGGTGGCAGCTGAGAATGCGCTCCTGTTGCTTGTCCTGGGTTCCCCTCTTGTGCTGTAGCTGTTGTGTGTTCCCAGCACTTACACTTCTGCAGTACATGTCCACTCATCCCCACCTTGGTCAGCCAGTGTCTCCCTTTAAGCTTGGATTTACCTGCCATGATCATTTCAGCAGAGGCACTATCATGTCATGTGATTCAGGACCAGGTAAGCAGAGAATGAGAGGCAGATCTGAATGATCATTTGGCTCCTTTAATTGATTGAGGCGTAGTTGAGCATTCTACTGCACCAGACCTTAGTTGAGACTTGGGACTGTAAAAATAAACATTTTACAGCCCTTACCTGCAAGAGTCACAGTCTAGGAGGCAGGGACCAAAAAGAACACGGAGGAATACAATCTGTTGCCATAGGTGCCACAAAAGATATCAGCACGGGGTCACGGGAGCACAGAGGACAAGGCCATGGGACATGGTCACAGAAGGCTCTACTGAGGAGATGGCACTTTAGCTGAGCCTTGAAGTATGCACAGGTGCTCAACAACTGCATAAGTAAGGAGAGGAAATTCTGGGAAGAGAGAAAGGCAAGACAAATCACAGCCCCAAGAAAGCTCTTGCTTCAGGAAATGCAAGCTGGTTACTTTGGTGAAGTGGTGGGCCTCAGCTTTTCAGTGCTCCCTCACCCACATATTGGATGATACATACTCCCTCCCTTTCAAAAGGAAGTTAGAATAAAAGTGAGTGCAGGAAACTTTAGGGATATTAAGAATTTACACTGATAAATGACAAATTTATATCATTGGCAGATTTGAATACTTAATTGGTATGGACACTCATGTTTCATGGATACGTGAGAATTGCTGCTCTAGTTGATATGCAGGGGGAGGGAGATAGGACAGGTATGTAGTGAACCTGGTATGCAGAGCCTTATAGGCCCCAGAGGTCCCTGAATGTTGCAGTTGAGATTTCAATTTAAAAGAGATATCTGATAAAAATGAGATATCAAAAAAGCAGTAGAATGAGATCATCTATTTTGGTAAAGTATTTAAAATTTTGCCTGTGTGGTTTCTCTAATATGAGAAATCTAAAATATAAATAAATATGAGTGAAATAGAGGAAAGGTGGTGGAACAGAAAGGCAGACTTTCTGGAGATGGGGAAGGGGATCACGGGGAGGGGAATGGAGGAAGGAAAGGGGGTGACCAAGATACCTTTTAAGCACATTTAAATACATTTATCTCAAGTCCTCCAATACTTATATATTCCTTACACATAAATTATAAAAAGAAAAGGGTCCAGTAAACACATTTCTGAGGAAAAGCACTTTTCCTTAACTAGACTCTCAGTCAGGGAGGTGGACAGGTGTGTGAACCTTGCTATCTCAGAACTGCTATGGGCACTAATGCTGGGCTCCCCAAGTACTCCACGGGTGTGTGGTTCCTGCTTTTGATTAAGAAAATACAAACTCTTCAGGACTATGTGGCTCCGTTTTTCTTCGATGTGCATTTAAAACCTTTCCAGATAGCTCTAGTTCTTTACCTTTAGTTTTTCATAAATAAAAGGTTTTTTTTGAACATTTGATGAAAATAATGCTAAGAAGACAAGGCCTGCTAAGCTTCTCAGAAGCACCAGTAGGCAGGAAGGCCCTGAAGTCCTGCAACCTTCCTGGCTCCAGAGTCACTGGAGAGGAAGGTGGCTTGATCCCAGGCACTGGCTGCTGCCTTTACAGGAACTCAGGCATCACATTCAAACTCACCAGATGAGTTCAATCAACACTGAGTGCACAGCGCATACATAATCTATTAGTTTACCCTGAAGAAACTGAAGCATTGAATTCAAGTAGAATGAAGTCATCAGTAATAAAGGGGAAAAAAAGAAAGTAAAAAGAAACTGATAAGGCACTGTTTATTTAAAAACCCAACACTACAAATTCCCTCCATTTGTGGTGGGAAAAAAAATCATATTCAGACTGTAAACTATTCTTCCATATGCCTATAAATATATAAATTTAAAAGTATGGGTTTGATGAGACTGCCATTCTCAAAGAATGGGGCAAGAATACAAAATCGGTTATTCTTATTTCAAAAATTTCCCAATAGCTCACAGAAACATGGCTACTAATCCAGAGAAGAAATTTGGTCCCAGTGGAACAACAAACAACCCCCCCAAAACAATAACAAAAAAACCCCATCCCCCCCAGCCCCCCAAAAAAGGAAAAAAGTCATAGAGCATCTAAGTGCAAAACATACTGAATTTTTCTCCATGTGAATATTTTAAAGGCAATATAGAATAGTCTGAAATTTTTCTTATGATCACTTGGGACTATATCTCAATATCATCACTTCTTTTTTTCTTTTCAATCCTTATTCTACCTCTAGTAACTGCATAATATTTTTTCTAAGCAGGTGCTTAATACAGTAAAATTAGGAATAGCAAATTTTGATTTTAGTTTTCAGCTTTTCTCATTGAATAATGTATGTATGTTTACCACCAAATTAATAAAAATGACATATATTATTACTGTAATCGAAGCAAGTAAATGATTCCACTTTGTGTTGTGCTGAGAATGTAAACATTTAGCAATTTGATGGGGACATATAAGCAATTTGTAATAATAAATTATCATAATAAATCATAACAGTTATAATTTATACAACACTTATATAGCAATTACAATGCTAAGAACATTTACTCCATTTTCTGCCCAGGGCAGACATCACTAATCAATTACAGCATTGTTTCAAATGATCCCAGACATACACTCAGAGTCCATCTCAACCCAGAACTTTAGAAAATCACTACTAAACTACAGGAGCTGGCACTTTAGTTGAATTTATTTACAAGTCTGTGTAATAGATGCTATATATCTTAAAACAATCTTGCATCAGGTGTGGTGGTGCATACCTGTAATTCCACAATGTTGGGTATCTGAGGCAAGAGGATTGCCAAGTTCAAGGATTGCAACTCAAATACTTAGTGAGACTTTGTCTCAAAAGTAAAAAATAAAAATAAAAAAGGGCTAGAGAATGGACCCCAGTGTGAAGGCCTGGGTTAAAATCCTCAGTAACACACACACACACACACACACACACACACACACACGAATACTGTATGAAGCTTATCACTAGTAGATGATTAACAAGATTAGCCTGACTTTAGACTCTTCTTTCCTCTATAACTTACTATCTTCCAATCTGTTTCTCTTTCTCCATCTGATTTATATTTTAGACACTGGGTCCTCTGGCAGCTAATGAAACAGATGAAAATTAAGGGTGGCCTACAAGACTTTCTGAGGATTCCCACTTCACTTATATATGTATTTTCCTGGCTTTATAGAACCTTGCAGTATGGTTTCTAGGGAATCTTTTGCTCAGTAGCTTCAGAAATGACATCAAATTATGATAAAACTCAAATACTCCTGGAACCACATAAAAACTGTCAGAGTAGCAATAACTCTATCACTATATTGTTAGTTGGGAAATTAGGCTTATGGGAATATTTGTTCCCTGGGTGAAGTAAAGTCTGGGCAGTCTTACAAAAAAATGTTCTACTATAGCACCATCATATGAGGATGACAGATGAGTCTTACATTTTAAACATGCTAACATTTTATGTTATTTCAAGCAGTAAACAAAATATTTATATTGCAGGTATTTCTTGTCAATTACACAATCCCTCTCTTGAAAGGCAAATGTATAGTTAAACAGGCTCTTCTTACAGCACTGCAGAGCTGGAAGGAACTAAAGGTGCAGCGGATTTCAGAAACCATGTTGTTATGTTTTTTTAAAATAGCCTTAGCCACCATCCTCCATATGCAATCAGCCCCACACTAGCGCAACATCCATTTCTTTGGAATCTCACTTTAACTTGATTCTTCCTAGGTAATAATTCCCTCAGGTATAGTACTTTTTAAAATGAGTGCTCATTTGTGCATGTATAGTCTCTCCTACTGCTGTTGCAGGATGGAGAAATAAATACTTATGGAGCTTCTATGATGCCCTAGCTACAGTATTTGCACTCTACATACTTCATCTCAATTAATCTTCAAATCTGTGAGGATGATATTGTTGTTGACTTTTCATAAAGTACACTGAGGCTCACAGAAGTTAAGTAACAACTGGTGAATGGTGGTCCTGGATTTGTGTGCCTACAAAGCCAGAGCTGTTTCTACCATATCATGTTGCCTTGCAAGAAGGCATTAAAATGCAGCAAGCACTTTGTAGCTGCAGTTCACAGTCATTTAAAGGCAGAGGGAAGTTAGCAGAGCACATTTATAGCTATAACTTTTGATATTCTTTTATTTGCACAGATCTTTGTAATAAAAACAGAAATAGAAGTACTTAAAGTAATAGAAATACAAGCAATGAAGTCTGTATTCATTAAAGAATGATGCTGGAGCAATGGCAGACTGACATTTCTGGACAATTAACATTAAATTTCTAACAAGCATTTT